AGCTGTGATGTGATGAAAACCTACCACTTTTAAAAAAAACCCGCCTCCACCCTGTAGGGTCAAGGACCGTGATGACGAACCTATGGCACGTGTGCCAGAGGTGACACGCAGAACACTCTGTGGGCATGCGTGCCATCGCCAGCTGCTCTTCTGGTTTCTAGTGTGCGCCAGCCAGCTGATCTTCCTGCGTGCCGAAGCTCAGGAAACCCGAAGACCAGCTGGCCGATGCACACATGCATGCAGTCTTTGGATTTCCGGCGCACACATGCATAATGGCCAGCTGGTCTTCAGGTTTTCGGTGCTCCGGCGCACGCGTGCACATGAGTGCGTTCAGGTTTGAGCACTCAGTGCCGAAAAGGTTTGCCATCATTGGTCTAGGACAACTCAGCATGGCCAACTCACTGCGGGACAATTCATCGTTACACGAATATCAAAGAAACGGTGAAATAGAATCGTTAAAGAAAAGATAACATGAAATGCAAATGACCAAAAGTTAAAATCTTTTTTTAAATGATTTGAAATCCTTACATTGAATGATTGAATTGCCTCGTAACGACTTGTCCTGTGGCGGGTTGGCTGTGTGGTGAGTTGTCCCATTCAGTACCCTGCAGATTAAAAAGGGGTGGAGTTTTGATCACCTGTTTATGGTGGCCATCTTGACTTTGAACTTTTTCCCTCACCTTGCTGGGGGGGTGGGTGTTCTTTCCCGTCCCTTCCCTTTTCCTGTTTTCTGTAGGAACGGAGCAATTTTTTTGACTGCCTAAGTAAAGAAAAGAGAGACGTTCTCACGGCTAATATGTTGCAGGGATTTCTGATTTCCTATGCAAAAAAAAAAAGGTTCGCACCTTTCTCCAATTTTTCTTTCCTTTTCCTTTTTTCCCCTCCTCAGAGACTGGCCGTTCTGTGACCCAAAAGACAATCAACGGAGTGAAAGCGTTTGTCGGGGGGGGGAAAAAAAACACGAGACGTCGGACCACAACACGTTGTGTAAAGGGAAAGAGCTGTTCTGCCCACAAGAGTGATTAAATCAAATCAAAGATGCTACAATTGACTAGGAAAAAAAAACACCCCATGCTTGCTACAACCTGGAGATTTCACAGGACCACGTGGGTGGATGGGTAGGTGGGTAAGCCCCACTGTCTGATGTCTCCCTCTGACACATGTTGTATATGTTACCCTACTTGTGACATGACTGATTTCTTTGTGCTTTTTGGTATTTTTGAGTTCCGAGTCTGAACTGTGCCGCCAACGGTTGTCCTTATTTTGTCCGACAAGTAGACCGGAATCTGCATAACTTGGAGAGGACCGAGCGGAAAGACAGGAGGAAGGAAACGCATGGAAGAACATCGGTTGGAAAGACACTCTGAAACTGGTCAAGGATGGACCTGGGGCCCTTTTTCTTTCTTTCCTTGCTGAGAGTGGCTGGGATGTTCCTTGCTAGATATCCCAAAAAGTCATCCACTCTTTCGGTCTGTAGAACCAGAGTGAGGGTTTATTTTTCCCATAGCTGTACAAACGGTCTGGGATGTGGACAGGCAGTCTAAGAGGTCAACCCCAGATTGTCCTCTTGCTTCTCTTCACCGCCGCGGTCCAAACTTGGGACTCAAGCAGGTCCGAGGTGAAGACAGGAAGGAGTGTGTGCTGCTGTACGCTCGAGCGGTGAGCTTGACCTCGTGGGAAAGAGTCATTCGCGATGCCTCGCTGTGAAGCTACGGAGGTGTCCGACGGGAGGGAGGTGGGTTGGGAGTGAAATGAAGAAGGCTTCAGTTGTTCTCAAAGAGAGAGAGAAGGTCATCGTTGCTATTGCTTGGTAAGTCAGGAGGATCCAAGTAGGAAAGTAGCTCATCGGGATTCGTGAGCTCGGGAAGTAGCTACAACAGAAAGAGAAGACAGATGGTGAAGCTCTTGTCAAGAGTGCAGGCATCCATTGGCCACGTTGATTGGAAGATGCAACTTCTAAAGCATTGACAGAGACTCTCAATCCCACTAAATGACAACAGAACGTTGACCTGCCGTGATGCCTTCACTGATGGAAGCCAAACAGAAATGACTCTTTGAGCATCGTTATCTCTTGCACGCAACCACATAATTTGTCCGTGTGCATAGGTAGCCTTCCATGGAAAATACTAGCTGAGTCCTTTCTCCCCAAATTGCATATTTAAGGAAACTCTTCATCAGAAGGACCTTTCGGTATATTTACTCCCTCATTTTCATAAAACAGATGGCTGAAGTTTCACTAAGTGTTCTACTCATCTGTTCAATACATTTCTTAGGTATGTCCTAGTCTTTAACTAGTATTCATCTACCCATAGGTTACCCAGTCTCATAAATAAATGTGCTTGATAGACCTGCTGACAGTCAAAAATGTTTAGCAGTTCTCCGGAACTTAAAATATATTACCCACTTAATTTTTGTTAGCCTCTGCTAACATTGTCAGAGTGTAAAAAATACCATGTCTGAAGTAAAAACAACAGAGCTAATTATGGATGGGTGGCAGGTGGATAAGCCTATCACATGCACAATGGCCAAATTGATCAATGATGTATAAAGGTAAATATCTCCTCAATGGTAGTTTTTACACTCTGATGATGTTAGCAGAGGCTAACGAAAGCTAAGTGGGTAATATATTTTAAGTTCCAGAGATCGCATTGTCTGTCTCTTCTTTTATATAGTTGTTCCTGACTCTAGGGGGCAGTGCTCATCTCCATTTCAAAGCCAAACAGCCAGCGCTGTCCGAAGACATTTCTGTGGTCATATGGCCAGCATGACTAAATGCCGAAGGTGCACAGAACGCTGTTACCTTCCCACCAAAGGTGGCTCCTATTTTTCTACTTTTCTACTTTTATGTGCTTTCGAAGTGCTAGGGTGGCAGAAGCTGGGACAAGTATTGGGAGCTCACTCTGTTACGCGGCACTAGGGATTTGAACTGCCGAACTTTCTGAACAACAAGCTCAGCGTCTTAGCCACTGAGCCACTGCATCCCCCATAAATATTTATATTTATATATAAATATTTCTACTATGGTGTTCTTAAAGCCAACGTCCTTTCCTAGTTGTATTCAGGCATGTTTAAACTCAAATTTTAGTGGGAGAAAGTCTTCAAAAAAAATTGATTTTGCAAGGGTTCATCAATTAACAGAATAAATAATAAAGCCGAACACTGCTGTCTAATTCACTAATATCATGTAGCTTGTCTGATCCATTTATTCAGGACATTCCACACTCTGAGTTAGGGGCAATGAAATGTGAGGCTTCCTGAGTGAAAACACTGTTAAGACCTTTTATTTTGCCAGCATCGGAGATATAAAATCACATCCCACCTTTTCCCCTTCCAAATACCACAGATATTTGTCACAGTTTAGATAGTAATAAATAAATACAATAGTAGAGTTGGAAGGGACCTGTCTTCTAGTCCAAACCCCTGCCTAGTTAGGAAACCCTATAGTTTGAACAATCTTATCTGAACGCCCAGATGTGAACTGCAAAAGTTGTGTTCACCTACATGGGGGCTTCCATTCACATTTTTGAATAATTTCTCCCCCTAAAAAGTCTTAATGGGACGCGGTGGCTCAAAAGATGCTGAGCTTGTCAATCACAAAGGTTGGCACTTCGGTGGTTCAAATCCCTAGCCCTGTGTAATGGAGTGAGCTCCCATTACTTGTCTCAGCTTCTGCTAACCTAGCAGTTTGAAACCATGTAAAAGTGCAAGTAGAAAAATAGGATCCACTTTTAGTGGGAAGGTTACAGTGTTCTGTGTGCCTTTGGCATTTAGTCATGCCGGCGACATGACCATGGAGACATCTTCGGACAGCGCTGGCTCTTCAGCTTTGAATGACGAGCACATATATGCGAGGGGAACCTTTACCTTTACTTTAAAAAGTCTTGCATGTTAGCTTTTTTCCCCCCAACTCCTCGGCTAACTTTCTTATTATATGGGGAGGGGGGAAACCATCCATGCTCTTTGCTTACATATAATTTTGCCCCAGCTCATCACAAGGATGAGTGACTTCCTTGCCAAATTATTATATGACTGCATCTTAGCAAGTACAGACAAATAATAAAGTCTCCTTAGAATTAATTGAACTCTTAATAGCTTTATGAACATTCCATGTAGTTTCTTTGAACAGCTACATTGCCTCCCCCCCCCACCCCCCAATGTCTTTCTCCCAGTTTCCCAGTTTGTAGTTGTGGAATTTCCTAGGGCTCTATCTGAGGCCAGAAAGGGTCTAACTTACTCAACCTTTTTTTTTTAGACCAGCCTGAAAGAAAACTGACTGGTCAGATCCAAAGTTAATTAGATGTTGCCATCTAGCCTGACATAGCAAACATTAAATGTAAAGATTCCCCTCGCACATATATGTTAGTTGTTCCCGACTCTAGGGGCGGTGCTTGTCTCCATTTCAAAGCTGAAGAGGCAGCGCTGTCCAAAGATGTCTCCATGGTCATGTGGCCGGCGTGACTCAATGCCAAAGGTGCATGGAATGCTATTACCTTTCCACTAAAGGTGGTTCCTATTTTTCTACTTGCATTTTTACATGCTTTCGAACTTCTAGGTTGGTAGAAGTAACAGGAGCTCACTCCATTACACGAGATTCGAACCACTGAACTACCAACCTTCTGATCAACAAGCTCAGTGTCTTAGCCACTGAGCCACCGTGTCCCTTATAGCAAACATTGCACAACATTAAATATACTAGCTGCAGGAATACCCCGTCAAAAATGAGAAACATTTCTAAGTCTAAAATATAGATGTTTGACACCAAGGTGGTTAATTAGTTCTACAATGCAACAAGGGTTCTGTAAATGGATTTTGGAGATTCTAGCAGGGGACTGCAGTTTCTTGCATTCCTTTGATCTATCTGGGGGTGATCAGATGCGACCACTGAGCATGAAGCTTCAGGAGGGACACACATGGAGTGATGAACGGAGAGGGAATGCCCACCTAACTTGCCAGATCAATCCTTAAGATCAATAAAGAGGTACATTTTTTCCCACCAAAGTGGTACCTATTTATCTACTTGCATTTGCATGCTTTTGAACTGCTAGGTGAGCTGGAACAAGGAACGGGAACTCACCCCATTGCGCAGCATATGGGTCTCAAACCTGGGCTGTCAGCATCTTTCAGCAACTTTAAGCATCTTTAGCCGCTGAGCGACCACATCTCCTTAAGATCAATAGGGTTACAGCCAGACCAGCCTCGCATCCTAGTTCATGTCTCTTTAACGCAGGGGTGAAATTCAGCAGGTTCTGGCAGGTTCTGGAGAACCAGTAGCGGAAATTTTGAGTAGTTTGGAGAACCAGCAAATACCACCTCTGGCTGGCCCCAGAGTGCGGTGGGAATGGAGATTTTCCAGTATCCTTCCCCTGCCACGCCCACCAAGCAACACCCAGAGAACCAGTAGTTAAAAAAAATGAATTTCACCACTGCTTTAACATCCAATCCTTCATCCTTTGAACAATCGGTGCATATGTAGTTTTTTGTTTTTTTTAAAACAATTGTAGCTGCCTTACACTCTTCTTTTGCTATTGGCTGTGTTTGCAAGAATTACGTCAACAAAACGAATGAGGGCTTAACCTTGGTGGCTTCCTGCCACTCTGCCATTCTAGTTCCTTAGTTTGGAATTCAGATAAAAGATTGCCACTTTGGTGAAGCTTTATAAGCTGAATAGATTAACTTCAGGGCTAGCAAGTAGATTGGAAAGCGGTGAAAGCATCCTGAAATAAGACAATGTTAAAACAATTTCCATACTGTTATCAAGAAAGCTACATGGATATGTCCATATAGGCCACAAGAGTTGAGCTACTCTATCTGCGCTAAGGCAGGGGTGAAATTCAGCAGGTTCTGACAGGTTCTGGAGAACTCGTAGCGGAAATTTTGAGTAATTCGGAGAACTGGAAAATACCACCTCTGGCTGACCCCAGAGTGGGATGGGAATGGGGATTTTGCAATATCCATCCCCCAGGAGTGGGGAAGGAATGGGGATTTTGCAGTATCCTTCCCCTGCCACATCCACTAAGTCACGCCCACAGAACCGGTAGTAAAAAATGTTGAATTTCACCACTGCACTAAGGTTTAAAGAAGAAGATCTGTGTTATGGACCTCAAAATGCCTCTGTAGAGGACAGAAGACCATTCTGAACATGGTAGGTGATCAGGAGAAATGGTCCAAAAATCAGATCCATCTGCTTCTATCAATATAAGCCCCTCTAAGGACAGAAGAATGTTATCAGTATCATATTATCCCTAAGGTGCTTTCCCGAAAGGCAACTGGACTTTCTTGATTTTTTCCCCTTGAAAATATCTTGCTTCTCATCCAAGAAGCTTCTTCAGTTTCTTTAAGAAGAAACCCCGAAAAAAGTCCAGTCCAGTTGCCTTTTGGAAAAGCACTTATGGGACAACATGACCTGGATGGATGAGAATCTCCACAGATGTTACCAAGAAGTTATCTTTCAGTTATCTGTTAATCAGAGATTTTATAACAAGCCACAATTTCCATTGGCCTGAGGTCATGTCCCTGAAGTTTATTGCCAGAGAGGAAATGAGGCGCAAGCACAGAATGGATTTGAATTTCATGCATATCAGCTCTACTTCACTTCCCTGTCCAGTTCTCCATTGCCTACATATTTGTAATATTGTTTTAACAATATTTAACAGATATTTTCTGTTGCAGCACAGTAGATGGGACCATAAATTAACCCAAACAGGCTTGGCTTGCCCCAGCTAACTCTTAACTAATATGTGGGCGTAGACTATGTAAGCCAGGGCTCTCCAACCTTGGCAACTTCATGACTTGAGGACTTCAACTCTCAGAATTCTTCAGGCAGCATAGCAATAGCACTCAGACTTACATACTGCTTCACAGTGCTTTACAGCCCTCTTTAAGTGGTTTACAGAGTTAGCATATTGCCCCCAAGAATCTGGCTCCTCATTTTAGCCACCTTGGAAGGATGGAAGGCTGAGTCAACCTTGAACCTGGTAAGATTTGAACTGCCAAATTGCAGGCAGCTGGCAGGCAGCAGAAGTAGCCTGCAGTAACGCAAGGGTTCCCCCGCACATGCTTGCTAGTAGTTTCCGGCTCTAGAGGTGGTGCTCATCTCCGTTTCTAAGCCAAAGAGGTCTGAAGACGTCTCCGTGGTCATGTGGCCGGCATGACTAAACGCCGAAGGTGCACAGAATGCTGTTAACTTCCCACCAAAGGTGGTTCCTATTTTTCTATTTGCCTTTTTACATGCTTTTAAACTGCTAGGTTGGCAGAAGCTGGGACAAGTAACGGGAGCTCACTCCATTACATGGTGCTGGGGATTCGAACTGCTAAACTGCCGACCTTCTGATCGAGAAGCTCAGCATCTTACCCACTGAGCCACCACATCCCCTAGCCTGCAGTACGGCACTCTAACCACTGCGCCACAAAGCTGACATAGCATAGTGGCTGAGGAATTCTGGGAATTGAAGTCCACGAATCATCTAAATGATGACCCCTGATGATAACAGTTATCCTTCCTTCCGCCTTTTCTGACCTCGGATGCACTGTGAAGGGAAGCAGATGACAGAATGACACAGACTTACATCCAGCGAAGGTTCCGGCATGTCAGATGTCCCCTGCCCACCAGGTTGAGCTTCTAAAGCTGTCGAGGGGTTAAAAGCCAGATCGCTGTGAGGATGGTTGCTAGAAGCGGCCTGGGTCGGCTGCCGGGACGGCTGAGTCGGGGGACCACTGTGATGTAATGGCTGCCCTGACTGGCTGCTGGGATGAGGGACGTGCAAACCTTGAGGCATGGAGCTATGGGATTGATCAGTGTTGCCAGGATGAGGGATCTGCAGGAGGAAAGAAGCCGGAGAGGAGACATGAGGAGATGAGGTGGCAAGCTGGGAAGATGGGGACAGCATGGTGCGGGAGGGCGAAGGAATTGTTTCATAAACCATCATCGCTAAAATCCGTCATCATCCAGGAGAAACCCATTTGGGTGCCTGCCTGGCCTTCAAAACACAATTTTTTAGAAATATACATGGAATAGGAAATGGTGAATCTAAGTCCAGATCCAAGCTCATGCCTTGAAAATTCGCTGTCATTGGGAAAGTTGAAACTTCTTTAGTTTTTTCTAGTCCCAAAGATGCTTTTTTTTTCAAGAGGCAATTGGCCTTTTTTTTTTGTTTTTCCTTGAAGACGTTTGGCTTCTCATCCCAGAATCTTCCTCAGTTCTCACTGAGTGAGTCAGAACTGAAGAAGCCTCTTGGATGAGAAGTGAAACGTCTTCAAGGAAAAACAAAGCCCAGTTGCCTTTTGAAAAAAAAAGCATCTTTGGGGCAACCATGACTTGGATGACTAAAAAAATCTCCATAAGGATTTACGTTTTCTAGTATGTTAACTTCTATTTCCCTCTCTAGTATGTTGACTTCTTTTAACTTTTCTGGTATGAATTCTAATAAAGCGAGCACAACGTTCTGTGTTTTTCTTTGGGGCAAAATACTTTCCAGCTAAACAAACATGCATCAGAGAATCAACTATTGACAGTTTAGTTGCACGGTGCAAGGAACAAAATGAAATGAGAAAATTAGAAAATCTCACCTATTTCCTTAAAAAAAACCTCTCCAACTCTTCTTACTGTTCTGCATATAGACATCCACTCATTCTATCTCTGTGTGTGTTTGTGTGTGTGTCTTTGTGTGTGTGTGTTTGTTTGTTTTTTTTCATCAAGTTTTTATTTTATTTTATAACATATAAAATTTCCATTTTTAATTAAACAGTGCATTGTCTGGGTACATAGTTTTAGGAAATAATAGTTTTAGGAAATAATAATCAAAACATTTACAACAGTGTTCATTACATTAGTATTGATTATAATAATATTAATCATAATGATGATGATGATGATATTTACTTAACCATTTTTAACATACCTCCCTTATATCATTGATCTTTTCCTTATATTTCCTTGTTTCTAACTCCTGCTTTTATCAGCTAACCATTGATAAAATAAATACCAGGTCAAAAATTATTCAGTTTCTTTCTTTTCATTACTTGTGTTAGCCTATCCATTTCTGGGCTTGTTTTTTTTTTGTTGATGGACTTTCTTTTTACACAGATCTTCCTTCATAGAAGACTATAATGATTGAGGAATAACAGAATTGAAAGGGACCTTGGAGGTCTTCTAGTCCAACTTCCTCTCAAGCAGGAAACCCTATATTATTTCAGACAAATGGTTGTTCTGTCTCTTCTTAAAAGCCTCCAGTGATGCAGCATCCACAACTTCTGAAGGCAAGTTGTTCTACTGGTTAATTGTTCTCACTGTCAGGAAATTCCTCCTTAGTTCTAGGTTGCTTCTCTCCTTGGTTAGCTTCCAACCATTGTTTCTTTTTAAAAAAAACTATTTTTATTTGTTTTTGAACAAGGACAAAGAAACATTAAAAAAAAAACAATCTTCCATTACAAATTGTAGAAAGTGTGTCCGTTGGTTACAGTATTTCCACGCATCTCTTCCATAGTCACCACCTGCTTTTCAAATCAAATCGCATATTTTAAATTCACCTATATTCATGTATATCACAATTTTTATATCTCAACCTTAATTTGACTATAATTGTTTTACGTCCTTTTATATATAATATTCAAAATTTAAAATAGGATTATATGATAACATTCCATTAAATCATCCTAAAATCATCC